AAAAATCGATTATAAACTCCAAAACTAGTATACATTGGTATTAAATTATTGATTTTTCTGAAAGACAAAATGTCAGCATTTATCAAAATGACCTCTTGCATTATAAAGTGTAGTACTATGAAATTAAATAGAAGAGGTTAATTTTATCCCTCTTGTAACTCTGCTGAAGATAGTGCAGTTATTTCAAATAAGAATTTCATTTAGAATGTGTAGGACTAAAAAAAAAAAAAAGAACTTTATATTTTTTTCATATGTCAGACAGGCAATAATTTTCTCATTCATGACATAGGAATGATAAACATCTTGGGTCTATCAGAGTCTAAGGACTCTTGTTTTCTCATTAGAAATGCTCTGTAGCACAGGTGGACTGACACATAACTCATAAGAAAGAGTTGAACCCTTTTCTGAGGACTGCTTGCCCTTCTCCGTTGCATCAAATATCAGTCCCTGGGTCTTCATATCAAAGGTCCCTCAAAGCCTCTCCCCACCTTAGTAAAGAGAGGTTGATTCCTGCCTCTCATCCGCCCATTGTGTCAGCCACTAAACCACACACCTTTGTGCTTGCTCCCACACTACCCCTCATTCTTAGGAGAAGCTCCCCTTAAACATCTTTGAAATATCTTTGGATGGTTGAGACACTTGGCCTTGTGCCAACAGTGCATTCAGGTGTACAAGATAGTTAGCGACATTCACACTCATGTCCAATTCCTTAGACATAATAAGGCACCAATTCATAATTTCCATTTTTTGGAAATAACATTTACTTTTAAAACAATAATATTACCATAGCGCTACTATTCAGAATTTACACAGTGCTTTTCATCTATTAAATACTCTATAAATATCACCAAACATTAAACAGGCTATCAAATAGATAGGAAAGGGAATATCAAGATTTCTGCATTACATGAAACAGGACACACTTCACAGCAGGTCAATTTACTTTTTTTGGAAATTTTTATCAAATATGCTTTGGAGAGTTCCATAGGTCACTTGGAACAAGAACATCAAGAGTTAGCACAAGTGACAGGAGCCTTCTTTGTACTGTACTACATGCATGACAATCTATTCCACAATATGGACAGATACACATTCTGAATCTGCACTTGTGGTGCCATTATTGCTACATAGGGGGAGGTTTTTTCCCTTCCTCTCTAGCACATCTGATTCTCCATTAAAATGCACAGGGTTCTTAATCTCCCCTAGAAGTCCAAACATGTCTATGCATTTTAAATCAACAAAAGGCCAAGGTATCAAGCATAACTGCATGCTACTTAAGGCCTCATAGAAGATTTGCAGCAAATTTCATATTAGAAACATATAGATGCCAAACATCAGAAGAGAGCCTGCTAGTGAGTTGGAAATGCTACCTAGCTATGTACCAATAAATACAATCAAGGAGAATACCAAAGATGTTGAAAACTATGGTATTCCAATAACCAAGCACCTCTAACCTGACCCACCACTTAGCATTGTGCAGCAATGCAGGCTGGTGCGCAAGTTCTATTTACGTGCTAAAATGCCCCTAAATATTTGGAGAGAGAGCTCTAAACATACTGATCATCTTTTTTACGCAGCTATATAAGTGAACTCTTCTCTTCCAAGACTAAGCAACATTTAGAGGGGCATATGCTACTCTCACTTAAATGAGGACAATCTTCGACTTCACAAAAGTCAAAGATGTAAATATTGGGATGTGTTCTACCTCATTCCAAAATTCTCATCTCTCAAGTTAAGTGTTAGTGGTAAACAAGTGGAGTCATATAGAATGCAGACAAAGAACATGAACAGCATATTTTTGCCTATAATTATTAACTAAACATCTATCAATTTGAATCAGCATCGAGCAAAGCAACTGACAAATAATACAATACGTGGCAGCAAAGCTACGTATAAAATAGGCACAAATGGAAACAATAAGCCACATTGCTCCATCCATATATATATCTATATATAAATAAAATTTCTTCCCACTTTCCCACTAAGCAAAATGGGACAACAATCCCTGGGGCACTCTCCCTGTGATTTCCTCCCCTGGACTACTTGAAAGCCCTCTTTGGGTCGAAAATCATCATGACAAGGCTTACAGCCCAAATTTGGCAGAGTCCAACTATATCATGGAAACCCCCTGCACTTCATGCACAATGTTCTCAGGCAGCTGCCAGCAATGAAAACTCAGATAATACTGGCTCTGCACTAGTGCGAATGAGAAGCCCCCCGAGCCAGCATGTCACAGGATCTCCACACCAGTGGCCCTAATCTCTGAAAAATCATTGGATTTTGTGCAAATTTGAGATTCTTCAAGTTTCGTAGTTCTTGTGGCAGGCAAGGTTCTTTGGGTAGATGTGATATCTTTTATTACACCAACTGAGTAGCTTTGCAAGCTTTCAGGCAACAACCACAGAGTCTCCCTGTGCCTAAAGAAGGTTCTTTGTGCCTGAAAGCTTGCAAAGAGCTCTGTTCTGACTTCTCAGTTGGTCGAATATCACATCTACCCAAAGAACCTTGCGTGCCTATGTCCTTAGACCAACACAGCTACAGTCAAAAACCCTGCATAATTCTTGTGGAACACTGTTCTCTACAGAACAATTTTGATGCCATGGCTGATATGTTGTGAGTTCAACAACAACACTCTAGACACTCCTGTGTTGAACTAACAGTCATTTATTATTATAAGTCTCTGGAATCATATCCAGGGTGGATCTTAACAGTTGCCCTCAGCAGATGTATGCATAACTTACACTTGCTCTGCCTCTGACCTGACCCAGTCCAGTCCTGTGGAGGGAGAACCACCAAGAATGCCCCTGGCTCCTCGTGGCAGAGAACCAGGAGTCCCCAGTGCTGTAAAACTGCCACAAAGCCACTGAACCCTGCGGTGCTGAGCATGAGGGCTTTGGCCTTACAGGGACAGTACAAGGAAAACAATAAGACACAACAATGGGAGACCAATGAAGAAAGCAGGACCTCACGAAACTTTAATTTCCACAGGGCCCCATCTTGGCTTTCTCCACAGGAGAGAGCAAGCTCCAGCCCTCTCTCTGCTACCAGTATCCAATAATATTCAAATCCCAACCCCGCTATTTGAAAAAAAAAAACAGCAACAGCAGCAGAAGAAACAAACCCACTTCCTTGTCACTTCTTCTTCAGGCTCAAACACATCATAATTGTAGCGATCCATGCCGGCCTGAGACGTTGAGGACTCGTAGGAGGTAAATGCAGGTGCACATGCACCGCCTGAGATTGGCCTTGCACCCCCTGGAAACCCCAGCCGCAAAACCAGAAGTGCACTTCTGGTTTCACCACTGGTGATTTCAGGCTCAGCGATCAGCTGCTGGGGTATCCCCCCTGCCCTGGTTGGTGATCTGGTGCCCCCCCCGACTCAGGAGGCACCAGTCGCCCATGACCTGAGAAATCGTTCTACAAATATTTTAAATTCTTCTCTCTCCAGAGTCCATTTCCAATTATGTCATTCCCATAGTTATTTTCACTTTGAGAAAAGAAAAAGAAGATGAAACAATAGCTTTTCTTACAACAAAAAAGCTTCTTGCTGAAAAATATGTCCATGCAGTGTCACTGAAGGTATGCATGCCACAATCCAAAGATGTGACTGCAGGTCATGCAGAGGTACCCAAGCTAGCTAACTCAACTTAGCCCTGTACTGAGATCTATGTTGCAGTGGTTACAGTCTAGCTGTCCAAGTATATATCCGCAGTCCCAGATGAATTTCCACACCCTGTCCTAAATCACCAGGAACTGTGTTTTTACCTTTTGCTTGCTGCTAGCTTTACTATGCCTACACAAATTGCAGTCACATCCCTAAATAGATATACACAGAACAATAAGTACAGGTTGAAGGGATCAGAGACAAAAAACTTTACAGCTCTATAAATGAAATATATATCTGCATTTCACTTAATGAAGTTACTTGAAAATATTCTCCATCATATTTTTCTTCTCTCCACAGGGTTTCTCTTTACAACTGCATAGGATAGTATGCAATTATTTATTGGATTTCTTTTATTTTTTTTTGCTCTAAACTGGGGCAACCAGCTCATCACTTTTCCTAAGATTCTGTATGTTTTTGTCTGTCCTACATCTTTTATAGGCCTGAACCAATCAGTGGATGTAAACCATACATCAAAAGCAACTGTTTTCATAATGTGTTATAAATATGAAAATATCAATAAGGAGTTCAATTTAAAATATTTTTACACTAAATTATGTTCTTTACAAGCTTCATTATTCAGTTAGGGATACCATATTTCCTCTCCTAGGTTTCAGCACCAAAGATTGGATTTATATGAGTTAACTTCATCCTACCTTTTCTTCATACATTTTTTTTAATTTTTGCAAGCCACTCAGCCAGCTTCAACAATCAAAACAGTGTCAGATTCACTGCCTGCATCTCATGAACTCTCACAAAGCTGGAACATTTGGGATACAAATATAAATTTAGCAAGAATGCTTAAATCCAAACTAAGAAATATAAAGCAAAATTAGTCATTTTAATTTTTAAACATTTTAACTGATATAAAAATTATCTTTTGTAGTTGCTTTCATTTGTTTTTTTAAACCTGAAGCACCTGCATACTAAGCTGAAATCAAAACAGTAATACGTCTTTAAACATTTTTTTTAAAAACCTATTACAGAAGATGCTCTGTTTAAATAATTTTTAAGCTCATCTCTTCAAAATTAGTCATTTGATGTTTAGAAGTATTCAAACTACTACTATGGAAGTCAATGACTTCTCTGGGTGCTGGATACCTCTTGGGGGGGAAAACAGAAATAATGTATATTACCTACAGAACTTTGTCTAAACTTAAGAAACATATGTTCCAAACTAGAAATGTTCCTCACAGGTTACACCACATAATACCACAGGTAGGAATGAAAAGAAAGGGATATCCATTAAAATAACAAACACTAGTTTGTCTAAAACAAAAATTAATGTACTTAATATTTTGATGGATAAGGTGGGGTTTTTTTAGAGTAATCTTACCTTATTTCAACTGGTAGAACCTGTGTCAAAAAGTGATCTACTCCAAAACATTTTCATCAGCATCTTCTGCACATTTTCTGATTTAAAAGCCACATCCACTACTTCTAACAGTTCATTAACTGATGTGTAAATCCAAATGATGATGCTTGATGTCTTTATTCATTCCCAGTTTCTCCTATCCCAGGTCCCAGTGAAATATCCACAGTTGAATTAAGCAGTAATGCAGTACAGCTCTAAGGTGCTTTGGCAGCCATCATGCTTCTCCAACACACTTTGACCTATTCAAAATGAGACAAATGAGTCTTAGTTCCAATACATCAGCAATACTTCACTACAGTAACTGCTGCTCTATTCATGGATCAAAATACAAATAACGAAGTGACACTCTTAGGAATATTTTAGCTACACTTTACATTCAGAAGGTGAACAAATCTGTAATAAAAGTAATAAACTCTGGTAAAATCACCATGCAGAAGTATTATCAGAGAATTCAGAGAGTTACTGTTATTTTGTGCTTTTAGTATTGTGCGAAAATGGTTTATGTATTTTTCTACATGTTGTATAACCTTACATCTTGGCAAACCCTAAGGCAACAGGACAAGCAGCTGAGAGGATCTGTGAAGTCTAAAAACATTTCAAAATCCCAGGAATAGAATGGTATGGGAAGAAATAAAGCCTGAAGGTACCTGAAGAAAGTAGGACATTTAAGAGTGCACCTACTTAAGAGTGCATGTATGACTGCAAAGAAAGTATGAGAGAAAGCACTTGGCCAGCACAAAGCTAGGGACAGGAGAGGCTCTATTTCCTTGCCTATAATAGCTTTCTCTTATTGTTATATATCTTCTCTTGTTGTTACAAGGAACACTAATGTAGCCAAGGCCTTGGTTGCATTTATTGTTGAGACCTGAATCTTCCTAAAACAAATGACAGAGCAATTAAAGACAACTGCTTGTATATGCTTGTATACCCACTGCCACCACTGATGTGGTTCCTTCATTAATAACAATAGCAGGAAAATATAGGGGAGAGGGCCATGCTGGTGCAGATAAGGGTTGCATGTGTTGAAGAGAAATGGAATGAAATGCTCTGTTGGTTCTGCCATGGGTGGAATGAGCATGTGAGAAGAAAATAAGCTTGTATAAAACAGAGTAAAGGGTGATGCACACATGTGGAGAAGGGGAACAAGGGGAACTATTGTTAAGGAGGAGAATGTGTGCAACAAGCCATGTGTGAAAGGATAATTTTGGAGGGGCCATGAGAAAAAAGTGCTTACAGTTGGACAGATTCTAGAGGGCCCTAAGCTTATCTGTGTGCGCACATTTGGGGGGAAGATGACAAAAATCTCATGAGATGTTTTGTGGAGAAAGCAAGGAAGTACATGAGCGGGAGAAATTTTGGCCAAGAGGAGGAAAAGGGAGGTTGAAGAATGTGTGGCAATAGATGCAGACTGGAAAAGTACAGAGACTTATGTAATACAGGAGAGAAGGAGTGTGGCAGAGAGGGAAGGAAGAGAAAGGAGTAAAGGAGGAAGAGAACATGACAGGAAAGGGGGAGAAAGGTAAAATGGGATAAAGGGAGGGAAGAAGCAGTTCTTATTCAATTTTTCTGTTAAAAAAAAGCAACAGATGAGAGTAAAATAAGAGCAGAAAAGCACAGGATAAACAAAGAAACTTTTCAAAAGTTGCCATACTGAATAGAAAATGTAAATGTCAAAAATATTACAATAGAAAAGGAATGAAACAAAAGATGAAATAAAGTAGGCTGCTGGGAGTCAAGACTAGTTCACCTAAATTAGTGGCTAGTGCTGACCATCTAAACTCCACTCCAGCCCCCAATTCTCTCTGCCCCCAAAAGCTTCAATCAAATGGTCTCTCTGAGGGTCCCCAAATTAGTTATACGTCCTTCTACACACTGTGCATGCCCTTCCTTATCTTCATTAGGGAGGTCCAATAATTACCTGGCACTCCCCCAGATCCGAGCCCATCCTTCCACAGAATCGCTACAAACCTCTCACCATCCCCATAGCTCTCTTGTTCTGATAACTTCTCAGAAGTTTTCTTACTCAGCTCTTTCTTCTCCCCTCCCCTCCCTGCCCAGAAAAATATATACCCAACCTCTTCAAGATCCTGAACAAAGCAAATCCCAAGCAAAGGGGCACAGGGGGAGATGCAGATCAGTGCCCACCACTGTTACACAAGCAGATCCAGAGGGGCTGAGCTGCAGTTCCAACAAAGAATACCTGCCTGTGCTCCTAAAAGCATGAAGAAATAGCGGGGAGTCTGCCAGTCCCCGGCCTTCTCCCCACTCAACCCCTTCCAGTCTCACCCAAGCCTGCCCTAGAGGGAGAGAAGAAAGAGAACAGAGGAGCCTAGACGTTACCTACTCCCTCTTGAAAAAAAAAACTCTTGAGAAGGAAATGCAGGGACCCTGTGGCCAGACTGAGGGGCTGCTGGCTCTCAGTGGGGAAAGTTTGGGGGGGTTTCCCTCCCGGGGAAAGCTGCAAAGCTGAGCTCACCCAAAGGAAGAGAGATGGGAGTTCATCCGAGTTTCTCCTTTTGTTCAAGTTCCCTGAGCAGACAAAGAGGCAGGCAATGGCAGCAGGTCCCCCCCAACCCCTTCCTGGTAGACCCAGGGCCGACACTGCCTTTTCCCCTCCCGCCAATTCAGGCAGCATCTTGCACTGCCCCCCATCCTCCCTGAGCCTGGGCCCAGCTCCCTGCAGGACACCGCCCCGTTGAAGGGGAGGGACGAGCCACCTCCCAGGCCCTCCTCTCTGGGAGATGCCCCTCTTTGTTCACAGCCCCTTCACAGCCGGGCGGGGGGGGGCAAC